CAGGAAAGCAGACAGACATAGGGGCAAACTAGCAATTAGGCCACAAAAAAACCAAGCACCGTAAAACAGCTATTGCTAATCAGCATGAGATACATTTACTCAATTAGATAGATGGAACTGTTATTATGAACCCACATCCCAAGGATGGTCTCTAAAATTAAGAAGAATGGGGGCAAACAAAATGCACATTTGGTGATTTACAACCTTTCTGTGCTAATTGTGAAGTGACAATGCAGAGCAACATAGTGAAACAAGCGAATTTGGCAGATGTTTTCCATGCAAGCTTCAGGAAAAAATTATTTTTTTGCCTACAGTAATGTGGATGCATCTCTTGTTCCTCTCTTGGGAGTCTTCTTTATTTTAAATAAAGGTAGCTGACAGGTCATTCTGCTGCCCAGACTGCTACGGCTGACCAAATAATCCTGTGCCAGATTTCAAACTCTGCTAATTACAGGTGGTGACTCTCAATCCTCCTCCTTGCTCCCTGCCAGCAAGGCTACCCAGGGAGGGCAGGATGCCACGCAGTGACACTGCTGCAGTCTGGCCCTGCTCACAGGAGTGGCACTGGGTCACCTGGCAGACGTGGGGTCACGCCGCACGTGGCAGGGCCAGGGTGATGCTTCTGTGAGAGGTCAGGGATGACCTGGAGGGGAGAGTGTGCCAAACTGGAGCCTCTGAGTGTGGGCACTGTTACTGGAAGTAACAACGTTCACACGTGGCCTGTTAGCGACACACAGGAACACGCACACTACAATTTTAATGACTTTATACTTTCCTTCGCACTTCTCTTTCCAAAAAACTGGTCCTTTTGAAAACAGTAGTTCACAGATTTCAATGAGGAAAGCATGCCAGCTCTTTTGGAACAATGGCAATGCATTACTATCTGACAATTTAACAAGTTTTTAATAACCCAAGCCAAGACCCTTTTCAAGGGCCCATTTTGTGGTAGGTATCTCAAACATAATGGCAGGCCTCCCTAACAAGCATTAAATGCACTATTTTGCTAGATTTGGCCTGGGTCCATGATGCTCACTGAGGTGCTGAATGTTATCCATTTTCCCAAAACAGATTCAGCTACAGATAAGTTGGGAATTAGCGCTGAAACTGGATCTCTTTGCTGATTAAAAAAAATTCAGCTATTTTGCAAATATAAATAAATAATGCAGCTGTATTTTAAGAGCCTAAAGGCTTAGGCATACTCCAAGCTAGTAAATTATTACAGGGTACTCAATGCACATGTCAGGATAAAGGAACTTAAAAGCATGCACTTAAGTACAGTAAATAAAGCAAGCACACACAAACATAGACAAAAAACTTTTTAAATTGTCTTCAGAAGAGGGTAGTTTTAATCACTGTCAAAAGCAAATAACTGAAACAAGAAAAGGAAAAGTCACCTATAATTATTCTGAATGCTTTATTAAGGGAAATGCTAATTGCCTTCACTGGTCTTTTATAAGAGTGTAAAGACTTTAAAGCATTTATTTTAACAATAGCATGAATCCATCTCTGGAGTCTGCATCCATGCTCTTGGAAATTCAAATTGCATTCACTTTCTATCACAAAAACCAACTCAATATCCACAAAAGAATTATTAGACATATTATTTTAAAAACTATTTACAGACAAAGAGAATATAAGAATGCCCAAATCCCAAGGGGTCACTTCTCAAAATGTATACTTCAAGATCTACACATTTGAGATCTCTCCCTCCCATAAAGCAACACTGCTAGCAAAGTGTGCTCTTCTTGCTACGAGACACCTATCACTTGAGCTTTATGCTTCTATAGGAACAAACCAGCAGACACCTGCAAAATTAGCCACAAAATTAAAAGCTTATTTAAAGTTAACAGCAGTACAGAAATAAATAAAGCAAGTATTTTAGAAAATCATAAAAATGTTTGCTCATATACATCCAGTGTAGAAGGTATATCATATTACAGCTTTGTTTATTAAGACAGTGGTAAAAACTCACTCTGAATTGTTTCAAGTTCAGCCTTAGCCAGGGCATCTTCTTTCGCCTTCATTTTTGTTTCTTTATATTCTACATATAATTGTCTGGCATCCTTTAAGAAAACGTTGCAATGGCATTAGCATCCTTATACAAACAAGTTATTGCAATGGCTCTGTTTTAAGTTCTCTATCAACCTCACAAAAATAACTTAAGATACATTTGTTTCCTTGAGTTACATCAATTCTCAGTATAGAAAGTATTTGTTTAAAATGTAGAATTTGTGTAATAAAGGTTCAAATGGAACAGAGTTGACATTATAGAATATGATGCTCACTGACAAACTGAAAAGCAAAATAATTAGAGAAACTACAGCTTTGGAAGAGGCCATGTACCCACTTTGCTCACATCAGCAATCTGGAAGTTCAAGGGAGAAAGAAAAGTTTTTAATTAGTTTTTAATTTACTGTGTAGGGACAAACAAAGGCAACTGTTAGGGCAGCAGCCACCTTAGTGTGAACTCATTAAGGTAACACTAACTGCGTGTTCCAACTCGTTCCTCCAATTTTTCTTAAATCAAATTCTACATTTCTATTAAAGTGTGGAAAATAATATATATATTACATTTTTTTCTTCAAGGATTAGGTTCTAATACGAAATCTTTATAGCAAATGTACAGATAAAACTATAAGTCCTGTCATAGACACCACAGTAAGGGACACATTTCCAGAGTCTGATGAACAAGTAATTATAGGTTTGCATTGAAAGTTTTCCAATAAGAACAACCAGATTGCTGAAGTAAGAAGTATGGAGAGTTTTCTTACTCTCACTTACCAGTTTAAGAGATTTCTATACTTATTCAAAAATAATGAATCTATAATAGAAATGCTAAAACAGAAAAATTGTTATTTATCTTTTCCAAGCATGCAGAACATCTATTGTATTATATCAAATTTACAGTATTAGATAACCCTAATTTTAGTTCTTTATAGTAAAAAAATAATTTTTGTTGTTATGACACTAACAGCATCACTTTTTACATATAAAGAGTGATTTGAATTTTAATGCAGACTGTATTGTAAAATGCTAGCAAATATTTTTTATAATTTCAACTGTAATTGAATAAATTTAAACCAAACCTGGTCTTACTAACATAAGAAATCTTAAATTTTGAAAAGAAAAAACTGAGTTAAGCAGTCATTATTGCTGCACCTAATCTAGAAGTCATCCATAACCACTGCTTCCAGAAAAGACACTATGATGCAACAGTAATTCTTCATGTCACACTGGCATCTCCCCCTGCAAAGAAGCCTGAGGAAGGTGGGAACACAGCACTGGAACCCTGACCCAGCTCTGAGCAGAACTTTGTAATGTTTTGGAGATACTGCATCAAATCAGCACACCTGAGGAACAACTCTGACAAAGCTAGTAAGGTTTCACCTCCTTCAAAATACCTCTTCTTGCTCTATTTGTCTTTACCTTGGGTGCAGGAAATGGGAAGTTACATTTCTTTGCCAGGTTTAGGTAGGAAATTACTGTACATAGAATGAATTTCAAAAAGTTTACAATACTTTAGCTGCTGGAACATAAAAGAAGAGAGCATCTTGCATGCTTACAGTTTGGAGGTTGGGAAAGAGGGGTTTTTTGGGTGGCTTTAGTAGAATTGTGGCTAAAACAAAAAGTGTAGGTACAGGAGGAGAAGCATCAACACCAGATATGAAGGCTCTGAGGAAACATATTCAGTTTCTATGTCAGAAGATTGAATTAGAAAATAAGGATCAGCATTGGTTCTCTTTTCGGTTTACCTGAAGTATGAATTCCCTCCCACATATGGAAACTTTCCTTATATTCTTTAGATTTGGACTATTTGAATCATTTAGGAACAGGAAAAGCCATAAGTGTAATTGCTCACTTCTGCTCTAAGTTTGAGACGTTTGGGCTGCATGGCATACACAGGACTCAGCCAACCTGATACCCAAAAACCGCTTTGGTTTGAGGCTATGATTTCCAAATGGCTACAATTAACTTGCATTTAAATTTAACCCATTTGACACTGAAAGCCAATATTTGATGTTAAATTCTGGTGTAAAATCCATTATTGCTTGTGGGATCTCCAGACAGCAGGCACTAGGGGGTAACTGTCAATCTCTCCAGCATGTCAATCACAGAACAATTGGAAATGTGGCTCAGATGAAAATGAGACACAATAGCTGAACAACAAAGAAAACTAGTCGGAAGCACGTAAATGAAATTTGGTAGTATTGTTGCTTTATAGATATAAAATGGATTATCACTACAAATGGAGCAATATGCAGGTAACAAAGCCAACATCAGTCTTTTATTTTATCAATAACTTTATTATGGCTGGTACCATAATAACAAAAAAAGGGGAAACTGCACATTTTGAAGTACACACAGATGTATACATAGAAAGAAAAGAAAAAAAACCCAGAACAAAAAGCTTTAATCAAAATGCACTTTAAAGATTTGAAAACCAAATCCTTCCCACAAAAACATAAGATATGGCTCTACAGGTTGCAAAGAGATATTAAAAGACATACTTAAGTAATGATTTTAGCCACAGACACAAATTTTATGGGTATTAGACCTTGTAAGTCAAAATGAAAAAAACAACAGGAGAACAGTTTCAAATAGGAAGTTCTTTGAAGAAAGCTTCTGCCTTAACATAAATAAACCCATTTCAATTTACTTCTCATTAGTTTTCAGTAGTATCAGTCTAAACAGGAAGATTTGTTTTCAAGCATATTCAGTTTTGATAGTAAAAGTATTTCAAAATAGATTTCTGTTCAGATTTTTTTACTTTTCTAAAGCAATAAATTCAAGCATTTTGTCTCAATACAAACATTTTAGGTCCCTAAAGACACTAACAACACAGATAGTCTCTTCCAATCTAATGCTCCTTCTGCAAGATTCAGTAATGATTTTACAGCTCAAAATATGTGCAACATCAAAATTTTCTACCTGATGTATACTTCACCTTCATGAGGTAACAAACATAAGAGCAGCAACATTTTTGTACTTCTGGGGATGGAAAAACATGGAGAAAAGAGACACACAGATACCAAGCTAGGAACTATTCTAACTAAAAGCTCCCCCTGACCTAATCAGAAATATTTCCTTCTCATTTGCAGCAGTTTGAGAAGTTTTCAAAAAGAACATCAATACAAATACATTACTTCTTCTCAACATCAAAGCAGCAACATGCCATTAGTTAAGCAAAAGAATAAAAAAGAGGGCTGATACACGCTGGTTTATCGTACTGTGATTTCAAACATACACTTTGCAAAAAGGATGAATGAAAAAAATGTATTGGAAATGCAAAATGCTGCTATTAGTATTTCTAAATTATATTTCAACTGCCATGTTCCTGTGATTATCCTCATATTTAATAAAAAATTTTTAAGAGTGTGTCAGGACAAAAATATAAATCAAGAAACAATGTATTTTCAATATTTTAATCACAAATCAAAAAGAATAATACTGGAAAATTCTTGTATTTCAGTTTCTTTATATCAGTATCATCTCAATAAATTTGAGATTGCAAAGGCAAAGCTGAGCTTAAGTTATGCAGAAATACAGAAAATCTTGATACTGGACTTTGAAGGGATTTTTTTCCTTTGTTTGCTTGGGGTTTTGGTTGGGATTTGGGGGTTTCTTGTTTGTTTGCTGTTTTGAAATGAACAGATACAGTATTTATTCTAACTGTACTAATTCTAGAACTAAAAGCTTCAGTTCTGAGTCACTTTGGCCTCTCCTTGACTTTTGGAGAGGGTGATGAGGTTTTGTTGCTTTGTATGCTTTGTGGGCTTTTTGGGTCTTTGATGGTGGTTTGGGGATCTTTTTCCCTCCAGTTACACCTCCTGGTTTTCTGGTGTACCTCAGAAAGACTGGAGATTAGGCAAAACATTGGAAACAACTTGTTGTATTTGCCATGAGAATCTTCATTTCCGATTTTCTGATAAGAATCAACATCACATTTTAGTTCTCTGGGTAAGGGACTGATCAAACAAAATACATCCCCTCAGAATTTACTGAGGGGGCACTGAAAACCTTCCCACAACCATACTTAAAATCAGTATATTGAAATAATTTTCTTTAGACTGCTTTATATTTGATCAATCTATACACTTAGAGATAAATAGTTGCATGGAGTTCCTAAGCCAATTTCTTGTCTTTTTGAGTACAGTGTTCTTGTACAATTTGCATTAAAAAGAGACAAAAAAAAAAAGAGTTCAATTAAATTTACTGTAACATCCGACCTTCAATTTGCTATTTCTATGCAATAAAAACACCAGCCATTATATCACAGCAAAAATACTCTTTGGATGGGTTTCTAAACTAGTAATATCAATGTGTTATGGTAAGAAATAATGTTTAAAAAAGAGAGTTGAACATTATGATTTACATTTCTCTTTGGCATTTTTACATCTTTACCCAAAGGCAGCCTAGTAAACAAAGAGGACTTACATTACTTCTTCCTTTCTAATCAGAAAATCATGTTTTGACCTTGGAACAATACCAGGTGTGGCAAGGCCCTTCTGCCTGTGGTTCCCAAGTCTTGGGAGCACCAGGCCAGTGCTGCAAGGCTTCCCTGGGCCCCATCTGCACCCCACGAAGCCTCAAACCACAACAGACCAGCACCACTGGCTGAGTGCAATGTCTCCTTGTCCACGTGTGCTAGGACATGGAGACACACAGTAAGTGATGTGGAGATGCTGCCACAGCACAGCAGGCAATTAAAAGCAAATTTCTTTAGTGTCCTGTCTACTGTGCAGCACATTTTGTATCTAGAGTCTCAAACAGTTCCCTGTTAGACACAAATGACTTTTGCTCACTTGCATACACCCAGAATACTTGTTTTACCATCCTCTCTCCTCTGACCTGCTTCTAAGCTTCTAATTGACCTCAGGGTCAAGAGCTTCATCCCTACTTTGGTTCTCCCAACAGCTGCAAAATAGCAAGAAACAGAGCAAATGGGCAATCACTCGTGCCACAAATCCTGCAATTGCTCACTTCCTACAAATTACATCAATATTGATGCTGGACAGTAAGTTGGAACATGGTAAGACTCTGTGAAACTGGGAAATAAAGAGATATTTAACCTTACTGACTCAAACAAATCCTCTTTTTAAAATCTGTCCTTTTTAAGACGTACATTATTAAATGCAATAAATTTTACTTTAATCTCACACAATTTTATATAAAGCCATATGTAAAGACAAAAACAACTCTGAAAGACATTTGCTGACCTCATCAAACCTTGCATAAAACCTAACTTGCCAAAGGAGATGCCCTGCTGGCAAAGCCTCTTGAGTTTAATGACATATTGCCAATCTGTTTAAGGCCAAAGCCGAACCATCTCTAAACAGATGTTGAATTGTGATCATGGATTAAAAGAAAACCTGAGGAAAAAATGCCAAGAAATTATACACCTCTGGGTCACTGGTTGGAATCTATTCCAGGCTACTAAATCAGCTACAGTAATTACCATCTGATAGTCTACATAAAAATAAATTAATGGCCTTTTTGTTTTAATTCACTTTGTGCTACACAAAGGTCTTTATAAACACAAGTTTCAATTGTAAGTGAAAGCTTTGTTGATAATCTCACTACGTTATACCCAGTGGCACTACATATAGAGCTCAAACTACCTTCTCATTACTGGAGAGCCACCAGAAGGTCTCCCGACAGCTCAGAGCGAGGCTCTGTGCACTACACCTACAGGATCACAGACAGAAGAGGACACTTTATTTTCTTAACAAGAATCCATTTCTGTATGAAACAAGCAAAAATGCATTCTGCTTCATTAGCCTCAGGACAGCAGCAGACTCATGCTTTAGTTGGTGTGAAAATAAAGATATTCATTGCCAAACTTCACCACATCAGTGTGGTGGGCAAGTAGTTGACAGGAACACTACCAAACACTCCTATCTCCCATTTTCTGAAGGAAGCATTTTGTGAAGAATAATTAATAACATTTTAAAGAAAAAGACCACTTTTCTGAAGCTGTATGTCTGCACATCCAAAGAAAAAACTCTAGTCAGCTGTTTTTGGAATAAACTGCAGTTGACTTATGACAGTTCTCCCACAAAAGAGAAGTACACTTAACATGACTGTCTGTTCCATATTGCATACACCATTTGAACTGACATTCTTGCACACTACATTTAGCTGGTTTATTTCTTTCTAACAAGAAATTTCTGTTCCAATAAGCATTCTAATTGAGTTTTTGTGGAGCTTCCCCCTCACTACTACTACTTCTATTTATTTTTTTAAATACATAGCCCTCTCACAAATACATAGTCATTCTCACAAAAGAGTTAACTATGAATGACCTTAGAAACAATTTTCATTCTTTTTCTATCTTTCTTAGTCTACATTATAAGAATTAAAGTTGGTAATAGTCAACGTAATTTACATTCCACTTATTGTTTCTTTCACAGCACAGATATTTCATTCATAATAAATTTTATCTATTCTTCTACCTTTGCTTCTTCAAACAAGCTTAAAGATGCTGCATTCCTCCCTAAATTTAACTAAACTAAACATGTGGTTAGAAAAACCTATGTAGTTTCTCTCGCAATTGTCAACATTTTAAAAAAACCCACTCATTTTCTTAGTTTATCTCATCCTCCTCTCACACATTTTTCTTCTAGTTTTTCTTCCAGTAAAATGCATACTACGATAAAATGGCACAGGCCATCACAAGGGCATGCAAACAAAGCATTTTTCTTCAGTGAAGGCCCACCTTAATTATTTTAAGTGCCTCCTCCTGAAATCTGACATTTTGGAGGAAGGGAAGTAGGAGAAAGACACTCAATTGGATAAATGAGAGCCAGCCATGGGCAGAAGCTCAGCAACCTGAATCCTCAGACAGAGCTGTTCTAAGTAGAATATTCACATTAATGCAGGGAGAGATGGATGCTAGGCAAAAGGAATCAATACAAGAACTGACAAAAGTTTAAGATGACCTCTCCTTGTGGTTTTTGTTTTATTGAGGCTTTATTTGGTTTTGTTGTTGTTCTTGGTTTGGTTTTGTGTTTGGTTTGGTTTGGGGTTGTTTTTTTTTAAATAAAGTCTCCTCTGAGGAAGAACTTGTGTACATAGGCAAGTGGGTTTGCTTTCTTAATTTGAAGAAACAGCTCAGCTGTTTCCCTGGCAAGGCTTTGAAAACTGTAATGGCAAAAGCAGCACACAACTAAAAGTACCGCTAACTCTTACACTTTTCTGTCCCAAACAGGGTTCACTTAAATATGGATGCATTTTCAGAAGTTCATCTACAATTGCATCAGTCACAGGTGAATGACAGCCAGGTTTGAAAACAATACGTTGGTTCTTAAATGAGTGAGGAAATAATTTAGATTAAGGCAAGAAACAACTCAAATCTGTAGCATCCATCCTGATGTCAACCACTGTAACACCTTGTTAAATAATTAGCACATATAACCTGCACATATAACAGTACTCAGTATCCGCAGAATCCTTTGTCTTCTAGAGAAACTGCCCTAGTGATTCTACTTATATTAAAAGCATGAAATACCCTGAGATCTCAAGCCTATGTCAGTGCAATATTGAAGAGAAAAGCACTTATATCCAGAACAGAATCTCTGTACCAGGGTATAACCACACAAGTACAGCTAATTTTTTGCTACATATTGGTAATTGCAATTAATGCACAACTTGCCAAAATGTTAAATGTAACTCAAAACCAACCCAGAGGTCTCTGTTCAGCTAGCTAAAACATTCCAGGTATCTTTTCAACTGTCATTTCAGAAAACATCTGCAACATGAGGACACTGCTGCTCTTATGCTCCTCACAAGAGGAAATATTTCTTTAAGTATTGTTAACTAGTAAGTTACAGTAATTTCTTTCAGTCACCTGAAGTCCTGAATATTCTGCGGATTCAATATTGCTTATAGTTTATTGCAATTGAACTTCCATAATTAGCAGGTTATGTTACACAACAACAAAACAAACCCTGAAGGTAAGCAGTAGTGTAATTTACATATAGGGCAATTTACTCTAAAACCCCATAACTTTGCTTCCTCCTTGCTTCAAAGCTCTGGGTTCCTCTACATTGTGCTTCTCCTACCACCAAACCCCTGCTAAATGTTTTCCAGTTTTCCAGGAATTATTTGCCAGCTTTTTTCCCCACTGCTATTAGTTTAATGGATCTAGAATCCAAAGAAGAGCTAGGTCCTACAAAGCACAAAACACTTTTGCTGTATTCATCTTTTCTGCCTATTCAGACAGATACAGGAGCTGCTTTTTAACAGCAAATTTAAAACTTGCTTTACTGACTTAACACTCTATCTTACTATCATAAAAATTATACGCCCATATGAAGGCCTAATTTTAAAACATTCATTAATCTTAGTATGTTCTGTAATCTTTTAATATTTTGCAATTAAGGCAAAAGGGAAAGTAGTCTAATTACAAATAAAGTTTAAAAAATGCAGCAACACAGTTCGCAGACCTTGATTATTTTCTATCTGACTCACCTCAATGAAGGATGAACATCAAAACTTAGTTTGGACACAACAGTTGATTAAGCATCATCAATTTGCTTTACAAGCTTGCAGAAAGAAAAGTTTCTTTCATAAAATAGCCACACAGTTCTGACGAAATTTTTTAAAAGAGGAAGATATATTAACTTCTGAATCTCTTTGCAGGGAAAGTTAAAGGCTATAAAAATGGTTGCTGAAACACTAGACTTTATTGCATTTATAACTTCTACAAGGCTTTTGCTAACAGACTAGGAATTATGAACTTTTTCCAGCTTGGACACAAAAACTGAACATTGATGCCATTTATACGACTTATCCTTTTAAATTAATATTAAATATTTCTGCAAACCAAAGCAAAATCCACCTTGCATTCCCTGATCCATATCAGCAGAGACAAGAGTATTAGAAACAAAAACGTGCATTCAAGGGAAATGAAAAGAAAAAGTAGGTGATACTAAACAAGTTTTTCTGACAACTGGACAGGCAATACTTACATTGGTTGAATACCAGCTACATTTTACAGTTTATAGTATCAGATTAAAAACCACAACTATGAGTAAGTCTGCCACACTGATGTTTATAAATTACAACCATAACCTTGTTACTCTATCTTAGTAATTTCAGGTATCAATTTATATCATTATCCAGTGACTTAAAGAAAGGAAACTTAATCAGAAATTTCACTGTTACCCCAAATTTAAATGGCATATTAAAATTTGCTATAAAAATATAGAATTTACTGATTTGAGATAGAAGTACACTTGATAACATCACCTAAAAACATTGCTATTCCTAACCAGGTGGATATATATCATCCCTCTCCCATCACTTATTCTTGCAGTTTTGCCTGACAGGAACTGCTTCTGAATTCCCTAGCATGTTAAGATTAATATCCATTTAAAATACATTCATATTTCCATGAACTCATTATACTAAAGTTGCCTCCAAAGACTAATTTCTATATATATGTATATATCTCTCTCTATGGTATGTGCTTGAGCCAAAGTATTAATTAAGAATGAGTGCTACACATCACCATCAAGATAAATAAAGTAAAATACAGTTTAGAATCATTCCTGTTACCTGGAACAGCTGAGGTAAAGCTTTCACAGTGAGACAGAACCATATTCCCAGCTTGCATGGAAGTAAGTCATGCCATTGTGGTTTGTCCAGTACCCTGCAGACAAATAAAATTGTAGGGTTTTCATTATTGCCACACAGCCTCAAAGCCAGAACTTTCCCATTATTCTTTAAGATTATTAGCACTTGTCAACTCCCATAAAAATGTCTAACTACATAATATCAAAAATGCATGTTGAATATTTAATTAACAATATGTAACAGCTAACTTCGAATCATTGCTGTATTTTGATCTCCTAGAAAGGGCTTTTCTTCAAGAAAATAAATTCATAAGCCACATAATCACTCCCGTTTAAAAAAAATCCCCTCAAGCCTCAACCAAGTGTTCACAAGTGCTGACAACCAGATATGAAGACTGTAGCATAAACAAAACAATACATAAAAATTAATGTCATTTGCAGTTCACTGGAGCATTACTCACTGATGTCATCAGGAAAGACGACAGGCAGAATGGTCTCTGATCCCCATCCTGCATTGATCCAGCTCATGCCCCTGCTGTGGGAACTATTTAAACCCTTTATTTCTTTCTATGAATCAATAGAAGAAATGGTGGTATCTTTTGGAGTGTCCTGAAAGTCACTATTTCCCAACGTGTTCCTTGACAAACAATGTGTTAGAAGCCTTTACCAACACACTTGTCTTTAAGTTAATCAGATAGAAAGCATTTAATCAGACAAGCATTAAAACCCCATAAAAGCTCCTGGCTTGGTACAGTAATAAACTAAAGCTCAGATAAATTGAAAATTGCTAATCGTAATCAAAGCAAAAACATTTAAAATTGAAAAAGTTGCAAAATCTTCTAAAATCAACCTGTTTGAAACAATACCCTTTTATAAGCCAGACACCATTAATTCAGCCTTAATCTTTCAATTATTGTTGATCTGCTGAATAAACACCGTATGTTTATTTACAAATCAAAACCTGAAAACACATCTAAACTGGCATACTTCGTATCAGCAATGGCTGTTACTACAAATACAGCTATTTTTCTCCTAAAATATTTCAAAAAGATGCAAAGAGAAAATGGTAGAACTAAATCGGTAGCTGATAAAATGCTTGAAAATGCAGAAAACGAGAGCTCCTTCCCACCTTTCATTTTTGTCTAGAGCAGCAAGTTTGGCTTCATCTGTACTCCTGCTGCCTGTTTTTTTCTTCTTCTCCCTCTTTTTTCTGCTGAGCAGTTCATCCTTGATGCAGAAAGAACTACGGTTACAGGTTATCATTAGCATGTAAACCACAAATGTTACTGGGACTCTTCTGTGAAGGGTAAACAGTAGAGTAGCATTTATGCAAATGTATCCGGGGTCCTACATGATTAAGTAAAATGATCTATCTTAACAATAACTGTTGCCATGGTATCCAGTCTTTAAACACACATGAAGTCCAGTTCTGTCACTCATGTGTATCTCCATAGCAATCAAAGTTTTCTAAGAGGAGAAAGCATTCAACTTGCCTCCTTTCTCATTCATCAACTTCAATAATGCAGTGGAAAATAAAAAAAAAGTAAATAGATGCTAATGTATGAATATTTTTCAAGTTATGCTTAGGGTTTTTTTCCTAGTCTACTAAGTGCAATAGACTTTTATATGACAAAAAACAGAATTATGGAAAAAAGTGCAGTTTATACTGCTTACCAGTGCCCACCCTGTTAAACAAAACCCCGAAACAAAAAAGCATTTCGCAAGGAACAAAGGCAAAGCAAGAATGACTTCTAAATGAATAAAACCTGATTATTTTTAAACACCATTTAGGAGAGCCATAGACATGATTACAGTCGCATATGATTCTGCATCAACAACTGATAGAAGTTTTTCTTCCTCTTTGGTTAAAACACCAGTGCCCACCCTGTTAAACAAAACCCCGAAACAAAAAAGCATTTCGCAAGGAACAAAGGCAAAGCAAGAATGACTTCTAAATGAATAAAACCTGATTATTTTTAAACACCATTTAGGAGAGCCATAGACATGATTACAGTCGCATATGATTCTGCATCAACAACTGATAGAAGTTTTTCTTCCTCTTTGGTTAAAACCCCAAAGAGTACCCAAAGAGTCTTCCTCTTTGGTTAAAACCCCAAAGAGTTAAAAACCCAAAGAGTTAAAAACCCAAAGAACCATCTTCTGCAATTTATCACCAATTCTAGAAAAATCAAGTAGTATTTAGATGACTATTTCTGAGATGTTGAATATCGCATTTGGTAATTATCACCATTTAAAATATAATCCTTTGAAAATATTTTTTAAAAAAATCCAAATTCAAACCAGGGCAAGTGGTAGAGATCTCAATAATATGCAAACATCTGCAGGAAACTCAATAGTAATAATTGAAGCAACTTTGATTTATTACCAATACTTACCAGCTGTTTTTCCAGGTAGATGGACCAAACCACAGCATAATGACCCACTGTGAGTATAATGAACAGGAGTAATGCCAGCTCAGCATTGCTCATTTTTCTCACCCTCCTGTAGTAGAACACAGGCTGTCGCCAATCTGGTAGTCCATTGATCAGAATATCATCATACCTACAGTAGCAAATATAACAAGTTTCATGGAGAGCTAAAAACGAAATAAGCCAAACCACCCAATTATAAAACAAAAGATAATCCACAGAGCACTTGAATAACACACACACAAAAGATCATTTAGTGATTTTTTTTTTTTAACAATTTTTTGAGAGAGAAATGTCGTGTTCTGCTGGTGGGGCAAGGCTCGAACCTGGAAACCAACTGAACCCAGAACCGAACACTGTGGACATGTACCCAGACTTTTGAGGGGGAAAAAACAGAAGTAACCTGAATGTTCCTGCAACGCCCTCTCCTCACCCACAAGTTCATTCACTCCTGAAATAAAAGACTTCCAGAAATGCAGCTGTGTTCTACCTGCCCAGTAATCAGTGGGCAGGTCTCCCTGACCCAAGTAAATAACAACCCACTAACTGCTAAATACGCAGCAAAGGATAAACGTCTCAAACACTAGAAATCCTTTTTTCTTTAACAAACCAAAAGCACAAGTGCTGGGGGGAGGGGAGAAGCATCTTTGCTTTTTTTTTTTTTTGTAACACAGTATCTGTTAGGTAAAAACCTGCTGGACTTAACACCCATTCTGGGTAAGGTAAGAGTTTAAATTAGAGGCTTGATATCGATCTTGGAAAACCAAGTTCACCACTTTTTGATCTTGTATTTGAAGAGCTGTCTCCAAAATCAATCTATTTTAAAACTGCTTAATTTGACTAACACTACTAACTGTACAGAAACCATTTTGTGACAATTTGTCCGTTTTCTTCACACAAATGTCTCGAAATAATGTCTGGGGGGTCTTTTATTCACAGTAGATCATCAATTTTAAAAAGAACAAACCACAGATATGCAAACCAGATTTTTTTAGATTAACTTTCCAGAGCAAAGTTTCAAACCAAAAAAAAAAATCTCTACAGTAAACTCAAAAACCTGTATGTTCCAGATGCACAACCTGTTAATCTTAAATTGAACACGACTCATTATATATTCTAATCACACCATTTCCAGAATTAAATCTGCACTGAAAGGCCTAATTTGGTGCAACACATTGACCAAAATATTTTAATTAAAAATATTCTGAGTTAGTTGCAGGCCTAATTACAGGAATAGAAATAGGGCCTATATTGTCATGCAGGTCAGTAGAACTCAGTAGTAGGTTTTTCTCAAGTAAATTGACCAATCCAGGAATAATAGCGCAGCTGCTAAACTGCCAGTCTTGACATGTAAATCAATTTAAATGCAACAACTGCACTAGCTACTTTGATAGTTATTAAATTGATACCTCGGAGATGTACTAAAAAAAATTTTCCACAAGTAAATTCATTTTTTAAGCAGAAAAAGAGGCAGCAGTTTTCAATTAAATATATACTTTAATTCAGTGCATCTCTAGAAAAGATGACTTCTGATAAAACATTTGTTCCAGCTGATACTGTTATTTCTATGCAAAAGGTTTAACACCTCAGGATTCTGCTGCATTTTGAATACTACCAGAAGTAAAATTCACTTTACAAAATTGTATCTTCCTTGACAGCTATGAGGAGACTAAGACTAATATCCATTATCGCAAAATTTGAACTAATAACTTCTTTCCTTTCCCAGTAAGTCAGAACAAATTAACTACTGATGCCTTAACATAAACTCTGTTTGGAAAAATTACTTAGGCTGTTATTTCAAAACGAAAACTTCCCCTTAACTTTTATTTAGGAAATAAGTGTAAGTTTTAGCATTTAAAAAAGAATGCATTTACAAAAGATTTTAGTGAGAACAGAAGAGAGTATTTCAGAAACAAAACCATTTTAAAAACAAATTAGGTTGATAACATTTAGGTGAAACCTTGTTCTTCCTTCAAAAAGCTTCAGAGAAACACATGTAGAATCACAATTTTTTTAATACTACGATAAAGGTATTAAGCAATTGCCTTTCTTATACGCTAAGGGTTGTTAATTGATGTACTGAACAAGTGGCTGCTAATTAAATAAGGTCGATATATGCTGATGGCAACAATATAGCAATATGCAAACCCAGACCTCAAACTAATGTTTGGCAACCACGTTGTATTATAAATCATCTGCTCAGAAATAAAATAAATGAAGACAGCAGAGTCTCTTGCATTAAGCACTTTAACCAGCACTCTGTATTTACCAGGCTGTGGCTGCTGTTCCCAACAACAGTCTCCAAGGATTAAGTCCCAGAATCAATGCTCTATTGATTTTCCTATCAATGAGCATTATGGCTCACACGACTGGCCATTTGAAGGGAAGATAGCTTCTATTATAACCCACTTTTTAGAATATATACTGTTAAAAGATAAATCACTGCTTTCAATAGTAATTAAGCTCCGTATTTGAAAAATAAAGATATCAATGATTTTTAGGTTTTCAACTGGAAAATGATCCTACTGAAAAACCTCAGAAGCTTCCCATCATTTTAAAATCTTGATTTTTCAAATTTAGCATGTGTTTTAATTGAAAGCAAGTTTCTCATTAAAGAATTTTATTATAGAAACTTATATTAACAATGAAAGACAGTTAATTCATGTGGATCTAGAACTACACAATTTAATTACAAAGCATTCTTTTGGCAACATATATTAATGGTAACTGTGTTAAGAAAAGATAAAAAAAAACAAGCTGAAAAGAAAAGATACATCTGCAGCATTTTTCCCTCAAACACACATACACAAAATAAAGCAAATTTTTGACATCTCCTAAATGTAGCAGTCTACAAGCTACAAAAACTCCAGAGCACCAGTACAGAAACAAAACATCCCCATTTAGAACTACGTTGAATATGTATCTTAAAACTCAGAATTCTATACATGACTTGTTAGTTTTGTATTAACAAATTGCAAGATTATGAAAATTTCTTTCTTCTGTAAAGTTACATGAAATAGCTTTTAGAACTCTTTGGGAATCAATTACATTGCAAGGAAAAAATCCATTAACTGCAGTAACTAATTACAGCAACATCTACTTTAATATAATTATAATTTACTTTTCCCTTTAAGAAAGCAACTGCACTTCAGATTTCTAAGAATTTCAGAGATCGGATACAGTTTATATACTATAAACTTGAATTCATGAGATCTGTTCTGAACTACAGGAAGATTGCACTGGCATTTTTTATCTGGGGGAACCTTTTCTCCTTAAGCTGTCAAAGACCTCCAGTGCAACATCAGCCAGAACAATTTATACCCATGAATACAGACATTTAATTATAATGAGAACTAAGATAAACATCTTTCTTACTCTAAACAAGTATACCTTGATTCCTTTGCAAATGCTTCCTGTAATCAAGCTCACATTGTCACAGAGGATAAGCCTGGTAGGTAAAAAAAGCTCCTTAAAATGGTAAGAAATGATGAAATTAGAATCTAAGACTTTTTTTCCTAATTACAACTAACAGGAGTGCATAAAATTCTCTCTTTTTTCATATATTCAAAATAATCAAAGGCTAATAAAATTTATCACTGTCAAGTTGATTTACCAATAAATCAAAGTCTAAAGTGCATTTCAGGAAATGCATCTAACTCTACATACCCCGAAGACAAACTTTTCTGTGGAATTTCACACTCTGGAGTGTGTATACAAAACATAAAATATGTTCTGCTGCATGTATGTTTAACTTCATGTTAAACAGTGCTACATTAAACAATGCTCATCTATGTTTATCGTTAGAATATCTGAAGGCTTTGATGATGTGTCACTCAAAGTGTGCAAAAGAAAGGGACTGAGATGATGACATTACTATATTCTGTAGTACTACTAAGGATATTAGTATACTTCATGAGTAACTTTCTCAAAAAAGCAAACCACATTTTAAAGCCCAGTACTAAAATTATCAGTAGAGGAACTACAATATTTGAAGAGAGCTTCTGCCATCAGTTAAAGGAAAAGTCACTGATAAATACGAGAAACACAAATGTTTTAAGAGAAATAATTACACACAGCTGGCCAACAGATCTGTCTTTTTAGAACCCTGTTTCGGTACCCACACAAACAATTAACACCTCTGACACTGACCAGACATGGAGGAAGAGTTTTATTGCTTCAAAGTGAGTTCATCACACTCTCAAATAGTGCAGGACCTTATTCCTGACTTTGCTGCTTCCCTTCTCTGTACACACAGCAGGACTGATGCTGGATTACATCACTTTTGAGATGCACAGGAAGAGGCAGACACAGCTGATTTCCCTGCACAGGAGTTGCAGCCTGCAGCTTGCTCTCCTCTCCGTGCTGTAAACCCATGCCCCAAACCATTTAGGTGTGCAATTGCGAAGGGATTCCCAGCTGAACTGCCAAAATTCCTCACCAACTGATTTGCAAGAAATGGAAGTAATTTCCACCTCATGCCCAGCAGGTCTTCACGTCGGGAGGGGAAAAAAAAAAGCCCACAAAAAGAAATTTGGCAGAAAGCCTTGTTACAGCAAATCCAAGTCAATGTCTCTGGAATGAGGATAAAATGGAGCTAATAAGCCCTGGGAGACAAAGGCTGCAGCACAGTTTCTCCCCAGTGTATGGGCATGACAGTGAACTTTGAGGGTCTTCCACCAGGTCCATCACTTCACACAGAGCATAACCAAATATCAACATTTAAAATCGAAAGATTCTCAAAAGCAACAACTTCCCTTCCCTTTGGGCAAGAAACCCTCGGAGTTACCCTCCCACAGAGAACACTGCTGGGGGAGAAGCTCCTGTCACACTCAAGACTTGCACTAGAGATGTGCTACAACAATGCCTTACCAGACACAGGACAGGCTGCAATCCCTTTACGAGTTCAGCTGAAACTTTATCATTAGACTGTGAAATAAACCTAATCAACACAGGTTTTCCCAAAGCAATGAGATCATATGGCTCTGCTCTACAGATAATGTCTAAACTCTGCATATTATTTCCAGAAAATTTCCTGAAGGTAAACACTATTTAACCTACTACACTTTTATTATATACATTTATAGTTGAATAAACTATAGAATCAGTATCAACCATACATCTACACTGTGCAAGAAAAACATGACATTGTCTATGGACAAATTAAGTAACTAACAATTAAATCAATCTAAGCTAGAACAATCTACTGCTGCTTTAACTTCTCGTTTGTAATCATTGCTGCACTAATTAACGATAGCTGGGGAAGTTAGTCACGTTTGTAATGCAAGCAAGGCTTAAACCATAATTTTTAGAAGCTACTGCATCACAGTTCCATGCAAAAATCTCTTATAACAGCTGTAAGGAAAGTTCCATCACGGAACCTCTAGGAATACATTCCAGAGGCAACATCCCAAAGTGAATGTAAACAATGCTATACACAAAAAATTGGGAAGATTTTGGCGATAACTCACTTTCGGTGGTCTGAAATCACTTAACTAACAATTTTTTAAACTTTCCTTGAGTACAACTTCACAATGAAATTCTATTTAAAGGGATGAAATAAAAAACCCATAAATTTCCAAAAGTGTTTCTACGAAGTACATTTTCATGACACTTGAAGAGAGGATTATCAAAAAGTAGATAATCTGTACTATAAACCCTGGACTCCTGCCAAGACATCTACAAAGCCAAAATCCCTTCAAGAAACATCTCATGAAGCTTTATTTAAGGACCTGTAAGCTGAAAGATGATTTTCTAAAACTCCAACCCAAAAGCAAAACTTTTTCAGTGTCTTGCTTTTCCTGATCATCAATAGTTGAAATAGCTATTTGCTTAAAAAACCAAAAGTTCAAACTAGTCTTCCAGAAAGCAGATCAGCCCCAGGTTTTCAGTTCTTAATCCTATCCCTTTCAGGTACAGCTGGAACTGCTCCTGAAGCAGCAAGGACAACTAGCATTTATTTTAAAAATGTATATCAGTGTTTACAGGATTAGAGACAACACATCTGAAAGGAAAAAACCCTACGAACCAAGCAAGAGAAAACAATGCTGAACAAGACACACACTGGAAATAATCCCTTAGAATCAGGCAACAAACCTTTTATTGATACAGAGAAGTGCAACTGGCAGTTGAATCACTGGCCAATATTTTTTAACCACAGTTTTTAATCAAACAAGCAATGATAAATGACACAACTGAGCAAAAAACTGATATAATCATTAAGTATCAAAAAAAAGGCTCAAAATAACAGCTAGCTTTTTTAAGTTCTTTCAAATACTAGTTTTAAAGGAGAAAAAACCCAGTATGTCACAAAAATACCACCTTCTCTAAGCCACATACAATTTTTAATTTAAACATCTACATAAGAATTACAAATTTAAATTATGCAAAAAAAATCATCTGAAGTCTTACAATTACAAATAGGGCTTGAATATAGCCCTGGTAATGAATGCTTTAAGAACCAAATTTACTCACCTCTGTCTCCTTTCTTCATCCTTTAAAACCTCATAGATGGCCACCAACTAAAACAAAACCCAAAAAAACACACACAAAATGATTTTACTTTATGATTGAGTTTATAAAGTTTGAGTAGTAGTATCACATTTACATTTACCAA